TCATGCTGGCTGGGGAATTCTGGGAGTTGAAGTCCACCGACCTTAAAGTTGCCGAGGTTGAGAAACCCTGCTTTAAGCAATCTGAGAGCTCATCTGTAATCCAGGAAATTAATCATCGCACATGAATCTAAACAACCCCCAGGTGTGTTTCCCCTGCTCCACCTTAGAGCAGCGTGGGTCCCTTAGCAGTGGTGCACTGCTAGGGGTGATGGGAGTCAGAATCCATCCCATCTGGCAGGTACCAGGTTGGGCAACAGGGACTTGAGAACCACTCAAGTGTCCCCATGTTCTTCTCTTTTCTTGTGAACATCAGATGCTGCTACCGCTGATCTTTTAGCTTCTGGTGTGAGCTCCCCAGCATCAACACGTCCTTGGTGGAGCTCCTCAGACATCAGAACAATGGGTTTCTTGCCGATTGCGAAGGGATAGTCTGTGCTCCATGAGCCATTTGTGACTCTGTTTATCCACAAAGTCTCTGCCTTGTATTGCCCATAGCATTGTGGGAAATTTCAAGTGGCAGCTGTCCGTCAGTGCTGCTTAGGGGCTCAGACAAGGAGCTGAGGAAGGAGGAGCAGAACACAAATTGCCAGTACTTGATGTGGCAAACTGTTACACCAGAGTTGCACAGAGGGAGTGGGGGGGATTGAGACAGAATGCATGCAGCCCCCAAGAGCATGCTTTCCTTCCATCTGTGGTTTGAGAACCACTGTCCCCACAGCCTCCTTCTTCCTGGGCTCCAGCAAGGGGGCAAGAGAACCACTTTCCTTCTACCCCTGACAGGAATGGCAGCAGTGATGTGGAACACAAGACTTGAAAAGCAGCACGTATCCTTAACGCTAACGGCCATAATCTCTCATGTCTTGTGGAGCTGAGACTTACAGAAGACCGACAAGACATCTGCCTCAGTGCACGCACCTTCCCTTCCTTCTAAGTAAAGGCTGCAGAGGAACAAGCACATTGCAAGGAATGCGCCCTGCAAACACAAGCGATCAAGACAAATGTGTGCTTGCACAGAGAAAAAAGGTTGGAGGGCTGCTACAGTCGGGCGAACGGCGCACTGGTGGCATGAAAAGGCCGCTATAACGGCGAGCGACCCTCTGAATATCTCTGGGGAGGGGCAACCCCCCACGTTCCTGAGTCCCTGCCTTTTTCAGCACAAACAGCAAAGCCATCAACCTACATTTGCAATCCACCCGCCCCTCTCTCTCCGACTCCGACTCCCCCTTAATCGCAGCCGGTGCCTTAAATAGTTAGGAATATCACTCTCAAGGAAAGTCTTCCACAAAGTCGATATTCCCCGATTGAAAAAAACTGAATTTGGGAGCCAGGAAAGGCTCTAATCCAGTGTTTTTCGACCTTGGCAACTTTAAGAGGGGTGGACTTCAATTGATCCCAAGACACGGGTCTAAGATGAGCAAACCACCTCAACCAAAGGTAAGCAAGGACGGCATGTGATGAGCCCACAATTATCACAAAATATCCCCTTTCGCTGGGGAATCCAGTTTGCCAGTTCCCACTTTTCCTATCCTGTTTTGCGACACAGGAACAGGGCTATGGGTCTGGCACGTTGCCAAGTGGGAAGAGAACTTGCCACCCTGTGGGCACATCTACACAGAAAGCACAAGCGCTGAGGGTTGGGAGAAGCGTTGGTTGGACTAGAAGACCTTTAAGTTCCCTCCCAACCCTACAATTCTGTGATTCTATAAGCCAGTTAGGAAATGCTGCCCTCTCTACAGCTATACAGCTGCAGCTGTTCCCATGGGACTTTCTCAAAAGGTCCTCTATGCTGAAGACCAGCCAAAGGTGGGGTTGTCCTAACATTTCCTCCTAATTCAGCAGGTCTTCATAAGGATGCTGGCCCCTGGAGAAAACAGGGTATAGTGAAACATGGCTAAATGCCAACACCATTCCTGTGATGTTACAGAAGCCTGCAGAAACATGGGACCCATCAAATGGAAAACATAATAAACGGGGGGGGGGGGACGCAGAACCCATGTAGCAAACTGCCCTAATCAAGTCATGCTTCTAAAATTCAGTGATGCAATGTTCTGCATGCATAACCAACCAACGGGGGACTATTTTTAAAACACTTCAAATATATATATATATCCATATGTCCTGGAAAGTCGTCATGTCACTGCACTGCTCAACCCCCCCCCCCAAGTAATCCCCCCATTATCAATGCAGCTGTCTCTCAGCACAGAAGAGACGCGCTTCCTTGGCTCTGTTCTGACCCTTTGTGGATCATCTGGGCACAGCCTCCTTCTTCCTATGCCAATAAGTTGGAGTGACTCATATTCCTAAGCCTTAGGGCATCACTTTTGTTGGGAGAAAATCCCCAGATCAATTGGCTGACATTCTTCATCCAAAATATCTCCACCAGGGCTCCAAGAGCCAGGTTGGTGTAATGGTTAAAGGTGATACATTAGAAGCCAGGAGACCATGAGTTCGAGTCCTGCCTTAGGCACAAAACCAGCTGGGTGACCTTGCGCCAGTCCCTCTCTCTCAGCCCTAGGGAAGAGGCAAGAGCAAACCATTTCTGAAAACATTGCCAAGAAAATTGCAGGGGCTGGTCCATGTAGTCGCCAGGAGTCAAGATTGACTTGAAGGCAGCAAACAAACAAACTGAAGCCCCCAGGATCCCAGTGAGCTATCCTAAGTTAAAGGAACCATCAGCCATTCAAGGCTGCTCTTTCCCCCCGGTTGCTGGAGAAGACAGAAGATTTATTTAAAACCTTACAGGAATATCTTTCAAGGCCTGATTTTCTGTCTTGGGCCTTCCTTTCCGTTTGCCTTCTGTTTTGTCAATTGTTGCATTTCCTGCAAAGGGAGGGAGGGAAGAGCAAGAAGGCAGTTTAAATCAATGCTGTTATCAACGCAACATGTTTAGCCTGGTTATTGAACTCCTTCATTCATTGGAGGGAGATTCACACAGAACACGGAAGGATCAGGGGATGGGTTTCTGTGACACGTGCAACCATAAGCAAAATACCAAAGATAAAGCTACTTTGATCAGTGAATGCATCTGCTTGATCTCCACCTGACCTGGTTACGTGTGCTGTGTGAACACAACCACTTCATAGGATACTGACTACCCTTGACCCCACTTGGAAGACCTAGCTCCTACCCAGGTTAGACTGTTCATATGCTGGATGGAGCTTCAGTTCCGCCTTGCTGCTTTCTCTCTCTGCGTTGCTCTTGCTGGATCCCGCAACCTTCTTTCCAACTCTGTAGGAATAGGAATCTGCCATGGCTGAAAGAGAAAGGAAGAGGATCATCTCAAAGACATTGGACATTCAGACAAAGGAGTCTGTTTTCTTCTGAACTTTCTGGAATGGAGGTTAAAGAGTTGGAGCTTAACCCACTGCTTCTTCCTAAGAACATCCGAACAGCCATGCTGGATAAGGCCAAGCCCCATCTTAGACCAGTATTTGGTTTCTCCTTATGGCCAACCAGATGCTTTTGGGCAACTCCCAAGCAAGGGGTGAAGATATAGCTCTCCTTCTGTTGTTCCTCTAAACTGGTATCTGGAGGCTATCTGAACTTCCAGCCAAGACTGTATCTTTGGTGTATCTTTTAGACTAAAAATCCTTGATAGACTAGTCACCAGTAATGTGCCCCTTTAAAGCTATACAAGTTGGTGGCCATCACCCCATCTTGAAGCAGAAAATTCCATTAGGGATGTACAACATTCTCTGTGTACTGAACAGCTGGTTTCAGATTATCTCTACTTAAACCAAAACATGTGTTTTGGACATTTTGGTCTGTATCTGGAATGAAATGGGGCTGTTTGGTTCTGGATACAGATTATTTCTTGTTCTGACTAGAAAGGATTGGTGGAGGAAAGAGAAGGGAAAAGGCAAGGGTAGGGAGGGGAGGCTGCTGAGAAGATCAGGGGGTTTGGTGAGAAGGTTGGTGGGGTATGCTGGACTAGGAGCTGCTGATGGAAAGAAAAGAGAGGGGAGTTACACCTACCAGCCATACCCCATAAAATCATCCTGGGATCCCTTAGGATTTTGTTTTGTCTAAAACCTGGAACAACCCCATCTTCCAAGGTCTTGTTTCCACCCAACTGTGGCTGATCCAAAATGGTTTGGCAGATCCTCCAGAACAAAATGATAATGTTCTGGGTTTAAAACAGATGTGGCTACTTTAATGAGTCTAGGTGCTGCAGCCGCCTCTTTCAAGGTATGTGGGAAGTTTGCACCGCCCTTATCTTTATTTTTATCTGCACTACTTTTGACTAATACCGATGCTTTCTCCAAAGTATTGTGTGTTTCTGGAGTAAAGCATCTCTCTTGCCTGCAGGAGATAAAGACTTCAGTTCCTGATACAAAAGCCTTTTCTCTACGCTTCCCCTACTGTCATCCAAACAGATTATGCTATGCTAGATGGACACCTGACAGAGGCATTCTGGTTGTTTCCAAATATATCTGAAATAAATTAGTAATCCAAATATCTATGTCAGCATTTCCCAACCTCAGCAACATGAAGATGTGTGGGGCTCCCCCCCCCCCCACTCCCACCCCCCCCCCACCCCCCTCAGTGACGACAAACGGGGAGGGTGGTAGGGGGTTTGTTCGTCTCCAACTCTTCTCAGATCCCCTGGGTTTGGGAAACATTGATCTATGTGGTTGAGATCATGCATAAAAGTTGCAATGGCTGGGGTATATTCAGTCCTAAATATTTTTACACGGACCATCCTTTACTACAGCCCATGACCTACAGAAAAATACCACTTTGTCATAGAAAAGACAACATTAGCTGCGTTTGCACAATACTCTTAACCTGGTTCCTGAATTAACCCATTTCCCGAAGTTGCGCATTGAACAATAAATTAACCAGCCCAGGGTAGGTTTTGCTCAAAATGCTAAGCCCTCAAAAAAAGCATCAAACATCTGCTAGGACCTGACCTGACTTATGTGAGCACAGCCATCATTTTAAAGATCAAAATAACAAAATAAAATAATGAAACTGTAACTAGGTACATGCCACCAAATGGCAAGCCATAAAATTATTTTAGGAGGAAAAAAAAAAAGGATGCCACAATAAAGAATGTCAGACCAAAGACAATCTACTATTCATTTTTGGTGTGATGAGTTTTAGGCTACAAAATGCCACTGATGAATAGAGAGCAACAAAGAACCATTGACTTCTGGTACCATCTGGTGGTTGTCCAGATTTTTGCAGCCATGAGGCCCATTATAATTTATTTATTTATAGCCTGCTTTTCTGCCCAGAAGCCATTTGAGGCAGCTAATGTTAAAAAAATAAACAATGGACAACTGGGGCATTTTTTAAATAGAAATGTTATTAAAGACTACAATTACAACAGTAAAAAAACTAATACAGACTAAAAAAAAGAATAAAAAGAAAAAATAGGTGCAGAAAAGAATGAAGAGAAAAAAATAGAGAAATAGAAAAGTAAGAACATAAGAAAGAAAAAATATACAAAGAAGTGATTTCCCCCTTTATCACAAGTATAAACAATTTTAGTAACTTATCGCCTTCTCTTAAAATACAACCAATGATCTCC